TAGGGGAAAATCTTACGCAGGACTGTAAGAGGGAAAATCATAACATCAGTTATTTCAATAGCAATGTTTTATATCAAAAAAAGAAGTAACATTCTTAAGAATCTCAAAAAGAATGAATATGAATCAGTGGTTTTATATACAACAGAATAGGTCTACAAATACCAAGAAGGTAAATTGTTGCCTGTGGTAATGTTATTTATGATTTCATAAAGCTTGCTTGGGGGTTCAGGATGCAAAGCCAGCCACAAGTCATAGAGGTCAGGCAATGGTAATACACACCTTCAATCTCAGCAGTCATACTAGTTTGCCATAGAAGTTAGGCCTTGGTGGTATACACCTTTAATCCCAGGACTCATGAGACAGAGGCAGGTGGATCTTTCTGAGTTCAAGGCCACCCTGGCCTATACAAGAGTGAATCAGTCTAAAAGAGAATTAGAGTTCACGTCTTTAATCCCAGCCCTAGAGAGGTATATAAAAGACAGGAGCCTGGTGTCTCAGGCTGCATTCTGAGATTCATTCTCCAGCCACGTTGAGGAGAGGCAGCAGTCTGAGGCTCGGAGGAGAGCTCGTAGAGACAGAATCAGCCCTTTCAGTCTGAGGTAGAGGTAAGGGCTAGCAGTCTGCTTCTTTGCTTCTCTTGTCTTCAGCTTGAAGCTTGAACCCCAATATCTGTCTCCGGGTTTTTGTTTTTCGCGTTACAGTTGCCGATCTACCAAAAACTCAAAACGTGCAGCTCCTGTGAGCCCTTCCTAAGAACCTTCGAATACTAAGATGACCACTATGCTAGCCTAGCCACACGAGGCCTTACAGATTTTAATTGTGATGAATCAACTGTAATAAAATTAAAAGCTCACCACTTCACCCAAACTAGCTATACTCCAAGTGTTCAGGAGCCACATGTAGCCAATAACTATCATGCAGGATGGTATAAATACAAAGCATTTCATCGTCGCAGAATTCTTTAAAGTAACCTGATCTTATCGAATGAGACAACCAAAGTGACCCACTGATACAAGAACTAATGGTTGTTTTTAAATGTGTACTTCAGTGAGTAATAAAAGCCAAATGAGGGCTAAGAGGGGGAGGTAACTTTGGACAGAAGACTGATAAAGGACATGGGAAAGAATGATGGGACACCACATTCTGGCACATGAAATCCATAAGGGAATCTTTCCTTCTGTCAGCACCAATTCAATTTACACAGTTTGGTCCTTCCATATTGGTACTATGTTCATTACAACAAGAAGTTTATTGCAATTACTGATACAATTATGTTAACACTGCATTTGCTGTTTTGGGTTTTAACCTGCATTTGGTGAAGCTACATCTTAATACATTGAAGTTGGGTACAGTGATGCATATATGCAATCCCCGAGTTGAAGCAAACATTTTACCTACTGTTTGTCTTTAGTATAACCACGTGCTAGTAACCGGATTCCCTTGCTTTTTCTCTGCATTCCAAAAATTCTCTACCACTTAACTTTCTCACAGTCAAACGGAGCTTTGCCCCTATTAGAGTGACAAGAACTATTTCCTTAATTACTGTACGCTGATAATAGCATTCTCTCTGCTCCAGTGCTAATTCAATCAGGGAAGATTTACTGCCCCCTCCCCCCAAAAAAAGCAGATTTGCAAAAAGAGAGACATATCTAAGTGCCCACAATCACACTCCAGTTTCTTAGGAGTGCTTGCCATGAAAGAAATATCCACCTGACAGAGGAGGGCAACGAAGGCAAACAGACCACTTTGGCATTCGTTGTGTTGCAGTCACCCAGCTACAGTTTTGAAAGTAACCCTGGTGACTGCAGAACACAGCTCCAACACAGTCCTGGCCACACTTCCGCCTCACCATGCTGAGCCCACAGGCGCTTGCTCTGGATTGTGCAGGCGCTAGTGTTTGCTGTACCAAACACTTTTTCTGTTCCTGAGTCGTGTACTGCAGCATTCATGATTAATGAATTGTTGTCAAGGACAAACTGAAGCCCTTGCTTTCCACCGAAACAACACTTTTTGGAACACAAAAGTTTGCCAGTATACAAATGCACACCTAGCATTTGTATAGGTATGTGCTTTTGCTAACAAGTTAAACAGGATGGTCTGATGCAAGGAGATGGTAAGATGAAAAGAAAGTTGGAGAAGTAAATGCAGGTAGCAGACTTGAATTAAGGCCGAACATGGGCAAAATGACTGCTAAGGAAACCATGACTGAAGCTGGCAGCTAAGGAAACATCCTCATCACTATTGACTATTCTTCGGAAGTTAAACTTGAAATCGTCTACTGGACAAAGTAATGCTTTCAGGTGATCCCAGCACTTGGGAGATGGAGGCCCAAGAGTTCAAGGCCATCCTTGGCTACTCAGTGATTGAGGCCAGCATGGGCTACATAAGACCCTGACCCTACAATAAAAAGAAAAGAAAATGGCAACCACCTAGTTGTTTGACCTTTTTCTAAGATCACTAGAAGATAACAGCTATGCCAAACGATGTTGTTCCCTGAAAAATGTTGTGTACATAGGCTCATAAAGGCCAAAAGTTCATGGAAATATTTTTATTTCAATCTTCTCTGAATTAATCCATTTTCTTGGTTTTTCTCCTTACTTCCAAAGCAGGCCTCTATGAGTCCTTGTAATCGTCAACAATCTAAACCAGTAACTTTGACAGGGGCGTTCTCAATCTGAAATGTCCCCCCACGGGCTGCTCACATTTTGGAAGCGTGGCTCTCAACTTGTGGTACCATCCTGGAGGCTGGAGGCCCTTTAGGATGTAGTTCTGGAGGGTAGAAGCACCTCTGAAGGTTCCAGCCAGTGCTCCCTGCATCCCCATCTGTGAATTTGAGGACAGTCCATTGTGTGCTCCTCCCACCATGCCTTCCCTGCCATGATTGATGGGACTCCATGAGCCAAGATGGACCGTCCCCCGTCAAGTTATCTCCATCCAGGAGTTTCTCACACCGATGTAGCAAGTATCAATACAGACAAAATTTCAGCACCTGAGACACTTGTAACTGGCAGGTCTGTCCCCAGAATAATCTTCAGGTCCTTTGGGGTCCAACAGATTAGTCTGTAAATCCCATTACACTAGGGGACAATCTGGGCCTCAAGAAACAGGGAAAAGAGCATAAGAAGAGCTGATAAAATAAGAAAAAAAAAGATTATTTCTTAGTTCTAAGTAGTGAATATAAGGATATTCATCGCTTTCTGTATCTGGCATATACGTTTTGAAATTGTTTTTCTAAATGAAAGAAAGGTAAGGAAGTCATAAGGTACTCAAATTCTAAATAAAGAGATAAAAACTAGGTGAGGAAACGCTGTATTGTCCTTGTACAGAAGGAGTAAGTGGAAGAAAACTGCAGTTGTTGGGAGGGACACTGATCTAGGAGGTCCCTAGGAACAATATTCCTATTGCACTGAAGGAGGCAAGCCAAGATACTTGTAAGCTCTGGAGAACCCTTAGCACAGGAAGCTATTTATCATAACAAGCTTGGTTGATACTCTTCCCATACTGAACCAATTAGGTTCCCTATTTCGTCATACTTCATAACTCGGGATGATAGGCTTCCAAGTATGGTACAGTGGAGTAATTGAATTTTGATCAAACACACATGGCTCATAACCCAGTATGTGAAATTTTCAGAACAGTTCACAGCTTTTAAATATCCAGTCAACATGTTGCCAAAAGTACAGGATGTACTTGATGCAAGGGGGAGAGGGAAGGGAGGGCTGGATCTTGGTAGAGCTGTAAAACAAAGACTTTTCCCCCTCTCGTTCTCTTCTGGTTTTTCAAATAGCAGTAGAGAGGGGCTGGAGGATATCACGCCATAGCTCAAGGCTTCCCTTGGCTTGCTCCCCTGCACAAGCATCTTTGTGTCTTTTCTCAGGTGAGCTTTCTTTTGCATGTGACCATTTTCATGTCACGTGTCTGTAATAGATGACCTGCTGACATTTCTCATTATATCAATATCCAAAAGTTATTTCTTTCTCACCCACCTGGAATATTTTGGGCACTAGCTGTGAGTGTGAACACTTTTGAGAAAGACAAATGATCCCTGCTTCATGGATTATACCATGCATGGAAAGGCAGACATGAAATAAATCAAAACCATTAACTTCATACGTCCAACCTATAACGGAAACGCGAAGGAAGAATCGGGCATCAGGAATGTCAATAATGGTCACTGGATTTATCCAGAAGGGATGGATGGAGTAGAGAGAACAGTGGGGTGTACCTCTAAGGATGTGCTCTTGGGAGACTGGACACTGAAGGTATTCTCAGAAGACCATGAGGATAAACCTTTAAGAATGGTGAGAGTTTGGCCAGGCAGTGGTGGGACACACCTTTAATCCAAGCACTCGAGAGGCAGAGGCAGGAGGATCTCTATGAGTTCAAGGCCAGTCTGGTCTGCAGAGTGAGTTCCAGGACAGCCAGGGTTACACAAAGAAACCTTGTCTCAAAAAGCAACACACACACACACACACACACACAAAATGGTGAGAGTTTGGCAAGTTCAAAGACATGAAACACACTGTATTAAGAGGGAGGAAAAAAAGATGGGGTAAGTGGGGGAGACACCTTACAAACTCATGCAAAAGATTTCACAAGTCTTAAATATTGAAGGGTGGTGAGACAGGGAGACTAGAACCAGAAAGAGGGGGCTTTGGCAACTGTCTGAGTGGGGACTGGTCATGACTTAAAACAAAGCAGGGCTGGAGAGCAGTCAGTATATCCGAAAGGGAATTTCCAAGAGGTGACATGACAGAATGAAAACTAAATGTGGGAAGGAGGGGATACGGAGGTCCCAAGGACATCTCCAGGTTTCTAGCTTGAGCAACCAAATGAATCAAGTCTGATGAACACAACTTGTCCCTCTAACCCTTAAGCCTATGTCAGAGCACTCGAGTGCATAGAGCATGCCCAGTTCTCAGGTCTTCAGTGGGTTTTGCTCCTGTGACAGCAAGAGTACGTGCTGGAGTAGAGGAGTTTCCCGTCTGTGTGCCCGTCAAACCTTCACTAGCGGAAGACTCTCTCTGAGCTATGGGAGAGTCACATGTGAGCATAAGCGTGAAGTTTTTACTTCCAGCTCTGCACACATGTCTAGAGCTACGTGACAGTAGAACAAGGAGAACCTGAGAGAACATATGCTGGCCCTTTGGAATCCTTTAAAAGCCAGGCGAGCTATCTTATCCTCCTGCCGTTTCCCAAGCATCTTTGATGTGAAAGCTATGAGGTAAGGGAGAGATATTCCTGGCCCGAGCAAACTACATATTCTCTCAGGGAAGAGAGGGGGATACAAAAAAAAAAAAAAAAAAAAGATGGGCACAGCACAGCATGGTATGTCAAGCAATTAGTCACATTTAATTTGTGGCAGGATTACTAACTCTACAGGGGTAACCACACATGGACACAGCTGTGAGAGACTAGGGAGCTTGTCTTGGGAACAAGTCTTAAAAGAAAACCAAAAGTTTGCCAGTCAGGGAAGAGGAGGAGGAGAAATTCTAAGAGGGGGAAAGAGCCCTGGAGAAAGCAGTAGGGTGGCTGGGTACTAGAGGCCAGGTGCTTGGAGAAGGCTTGAAAGGTCCTGAGTCCAGGGTGGAACGGGAAACCGGATTTCTGTTTCTGCTGTGGAAATGGCAAAACTCTAACAGTCTGCAATGGATTGTTATCACCTAGTTTGCAGGGGCCCAAACACAGACAAACAGTGAGCCTCTTACTGCAAACACGGCCTCCTTGCTGCTCATGCTCTCATGAGCTCTGTTTACCTCCTGAGTTGAGAGCACCTCTCTTTCCCAAGATCCACTGCAGCTCTACACTTGACTGCTTCCCTAGAACCCAGACCCTCTAGAGTGCCTGAGAAGATATACCAGTGGGCCTTCTTATGGGCTGGGGAATGCAAACAAGAGGGTGACTGTAGAATTTAATCTCAGTCTGCCAAGTAGCACTATTGCCCACGACAGTGACCAAAAAAACAAAGAACAAAAGTGTGTGTGTCCTTTAATTTTTAATAGCTATTCAGACAGTCCTTGGAGAGGGAATTGGCAAGTTCAGCGGGAGGCTACTCCCCCACCTGTCTCCAGGCACTGCAAACACAGCTGCAAAAGGAGACAGCCAGAGCTTCCAAGGAAAGAAATGATGCAGAGAGCTGGGGTGGGAATAGGATGCCTTTCTCACAAGCCCGCTGGGGACTGGGCCTGTCTAGCAACTGCAAAAACAAGCCAAGTGGACACAGCCAGGTTCTCTATACAACTTCATGTTAAGTAAAATCATTCAAGACCCAGCTCAATAGCCACTTCAAAAATCATTGAGGTTTTTGTTTGTTTGTTTGTTTGTTGTTTTAAGTGTGAGAGGGAAATGTAATTTGCAGCTCTGGCGAGGCTATGGTCAGATTCTGCTGCTTAAATCAAGATGAACCTTGAGGATTTATGCACTGTCCTAAGACTTGAAGCCTCATAACACAAAACTTTTTGGTGCAGTGTCTATGGTATCTGTATTTCCCCCATGCTGAAATGCACACGTGGTTAGGTGGGGAGAGGGACAGAGGGTGAGGGAGGAAGAGAGAGAGAGAGAGACAGAGAGAGAGAGAGAGAGAGAGAGACAGAGACAGAGAGAGACAGAGACAGAGAGAAAGAGACAGAGAGAGACAGAGAGAGAGTCAGCAGGGGCCAGATTTCAACCATGCAAATGTTAGCAATTCTACGGTGGTCAGGGGCTTACCGCTCCCCCAAAGTAAGGCGGCAATTACAAGAGGGGAAGAGGCCATTTTAGAAGATGAAAAGTAAAGCAAAGAGGTATTTTTGGTATCGTTTTAATCACAAAATAGCACGAATGTGGTCTGTGCCTGCGTTCTACACAAACGTCGATTTCAATACCACTGAACGCTAGTTTGAAAATTTCCATTTTTGTAATTTGCTTCCCTTTGTTAGGCCAAGGCTTGAGAGAAACCTGGCAGCGTCCCCAAGCCTGGCACAGGCTCGCCTCAGACTCACTCTGCTGCTCAGGAGGCGGAGCGCGTGGCACTGGACCCGGCGGGCGGAGCCAGGCCAGCACAACCCTGCGCAGCGCCTACCGCCAGGGCGTCTGGCGCCACCTACCGGCGACCGGGCAAGCGCGAGGGCGACCCCCAAACCAAGCTGCTGTGAGCCGCCTGGACCCGTTAAGAGTAACAGCATTATTTCCTTCACCAAGTCAACCCCTCATAGTCCACCAGGCTCAGGAACTCCTGTCTGAAGAAGAAAAGATCCCACGCTGAGTACTCTGCCACAGGAGTTAATCTGACTGCTTTATGTAAATCCCACCTGAGGACAAAGGTAGTGTGTGATCCCAGTACAGGCTCAGGGAACAGTGTGTGTTCAGACAAGAACTGTGGAATGAATGAACCAATGAATGAACCAACCAATCAAGGAATGAAACCAGACGATCAAAGGACGGAAAGCTAGGCTAAAGTGTTTAAAAAAAAAAAAAAGGCCAGGTATTTTGTTGATGGCTGGTAATTCTACAAAATCCTGCACTGCACAGACTAGTATAGCAGCCCCTCTTTGAAGTGCACAGCAGTAACTGACAACTGCCAGGTTCAGCGCAGTGCCTCCTTCTACAGATAAGTAAAGGCGAGTTTCAGAAGGTTGAATGCCTTTTCCAATGCCACTTTGTGGGTGATAGACCCAGTTTGAACCTACATTTTCCTGACCTGTTTGGTATTTATTTTGTAAGGCAAGAGAATCATTTTGTCTTTCTGTAGGCTAGCCCGCCCTGACACATATTCTTAGTGGACTGGGCTCAAGGAGGGAGTTGGCTTCATCAACTACCTGCAGTTGATCCCCGAGCATCTGCCCCAGCTTCTCCCAGCCAAGGCAGCTAGCTGCTCATACAGTTTTGCTCCAAAAATCAAGTGCTGCTGGGAGCTGATGCCAAATGGTCTAAACGTATGAGTCTGTTTCTTAAAGCCTAAAACACAGTTACTGAGCTAATGTTAGTGAGCTCCAGGCAAGTGTGCGTTTGTTTTTTGTTTGATTGTTTTTATCAACACAGGTGTCCTATATCCTACTATAACCTCTACTATTTCAAGGTGTGTAATATGCAGCTGTTGAGTTTCCCAATGACAGCTCTATTTGAAGATAGTATTTATCGGTTGAAGAGTTTTTGCAGTAGTGGAAGAGGTGTGGAGAAAAGTGAAAAGAGTGATTTTGGAGTCAGATCACAGGGCCTAAAAGCAAGGAGAAAGACTGAGCTCTAGCTGGAAGTCATGAGAGGCCAGCTATCACTCTTACATAGGGAATCTCATTGGCCAAAATGTCTCGGGGAGATGACCCTAGTGAATGAAAATAGATTACAATAGGTAAGGGACAGATGACAGGAGTCATAACACTGTTGCTATATAGTCTACTCTTAAAAATACTTATCAGGTTTTAGCAGTAGCAAACAATGGCAGTGAACCAACCTCTAATAAACATTGTATACATAACCTTATTTCATGTTCCCTGCTGCTTTTAAGAATTTCCTCATTTTGTCTCTAAGAGAACAGAGTGTCAGAATGGATATGAAGTGATCGAATTTTTGGTATCCATCTGTGGCTACTATATTCTGTGGCTGTTGCTCTGGGTACTGAGCACATGGTTAGGATTCCTGACTTCTAGACTGTTTTGGTTTTTGGTTTTTCTGCAGGGGGTAAGTGTTATGGCTTAGCAGTGTGATATGTTTGTGTGTCAAGATGACAAGGGGTCAGTTGGGCTGGCTAGTTTTATGTCAACTTGATACAGGTTACAGTAATATGAGAGATGGGAACCTCAATTGAGAAAATACCTCAATAAGGAAACACCTCCATAAATACAAACCTGTAGAGAGTTTTCTTAATTAATGATTGATAGGGGAGGGCCCAGCCCAATGTGGGTGGTACTTTCCCTGGGCTGTTGGTCCTGGATTCTGTAAGAAAACAGGCACAGCAAGTCATAAAAACAAACCAGCAAGCGGCATCTTTCATGGTCTCCATGTCCAGGTTGAGTGTTTGAGTTCCTGCCCTAACTTCCTTCAATGACAAGCTATGATATTAAATTGTAAGCCAAATAAACCCTTTCCTCACCAACTTGCTTTTGGGTCACAGTGTTTCATCATAACAATAGTAACCCTAAAATTTGTACCAGGAGTGAGGTATTGTTGTGACAGGTCTATCCTTGCGGTTTGAGGCTGGGGGAGGAGGGAAATTTTAAATGACTTTGAAACTTTGAGTGAGAAAAGCCGTTGACTGTTCAAAGCTTGGTGAGCCATTTGTGAGAGTTTTGAAAAAAAAAAAAAAAGAATATTGAAAGCAATGCCAGCAATAGAGGCCTGGCTGTTGAAGTTTCAGGGGGATATTTGAAAGCCCCTTAATGACTCTATTGGGGCCATTGCATTTTTTGAATTGAAAATCTGTGATTCTGGTTAGCTGTGGCTGAAAAATCAGTCATGATTATCAAGAGACCAGAACCAATGGAGCAAAACGTTTGCTGTATTGGAAATAACTGATGCTGGTTAGCTACAACTGAGATGAAATCTTTTGGGAAGTGTTTCCTCCAAGTCAGCATACAGAAGCAGTGTTCTAGAAGTGGTCAAGGTTGTACCTCAAGCTGGCAGCCAAACTTGGTAGCCTGAGTCACCCAGGTGGTATTTTTGATGGGATGTTTCTCTCTTGCCTGCCATTTCATCAATAACCACTCAGAGGCTTAATGTTAATTACAAACTGTTTGGCCTATTAGCTCAGGCTTATTATTAACTAGCTCTTACAACTTCTTAACCTATTTCTATTATTCTATATTTTACCACGAGGTTTGTGGCTTGTTACCACACATTTTGTTTCCCCAGCAGCTGCTGGCATCTCTCTGACTCCATCTTCTCTTTTCCTTTATCTTTGCTCGGATTTCCCTCCTGGCTCTATTCTGCCTGACTATTGGTGGCCAGATCAACTTCTTTATTAACTTCTTTATTAGTAGTAAACATATTCACAGCATACAGACAGATATCCCACATCAGGTATTTGTTTTGAAGGCATGAAGAGGTTGTAGAGACCAGCTGAGGCTAGGCACTGGAGAGGCCAGGAGAGGTCATGGACGAAGGTGCAGCCTCAGCTGCCATTGAAGGCCCAGAATTAAACAGAGAAGTTGAAGTTTAGCACCATGTAGAGAGTCCAGGAGAGGCTATTGGTGAAGGTACAGCCCAGTTACAGTAGGAGACCCCAGCACTTTGGAGATGCCAGTACCATGGGATGACCATCAAGGACTGTAGCAGTAGTGGAGTGGAGTCAACTGGAGCCTAAAGGACAAGCCATGTGTGCTGCAGAGGGCGGAGCCAAGAGAAGTGACCCAAGCCCTTTGGAGGAGCCCAGATTGTGAGAGGATCCCAGCCATTAGACAGTGAGTTATTTGCATGGTTGAGGTTTGGTCTTGCTTGATTGTGCTCGTGCTCTGGTTCTTCTATCCTAAAGTAAGAAAGCATTAATTTATTTTTGATTTTACAGTATCTTGGCTGCCTAGTTTTATGTGAACTTGACACAAGCTAAAGCCATTTGTGAGACGGGAACCTCAATTGGGAAAAGATGCCTCCATAAGGTCAGGCTGTAGCCAGGCCTTCTTAATTAGTGACAGATGGGGGAGGGTTCAGCCCGTTGTGGGTGGGACCAGCCCTGGGTTAGTGGTTCTGGGTTCTATAAGAAAGCAGGCTGAGGCAGGGCGGTGGTGGTGCACGCCTTTAATCCCAGCACTCGGGAAGCAGAGGCAGGTGGATCTCTGTGAGTTTGAGGCCAGGCTGGACCAACAACCTCCAAAACAATACAGAGAAACCCTGTCTCGTAAAAACCAAAAAAAAAGAAAGAAAGAAAGAAAGCAGGCTGAGAAAGTCACCAGGAACAAGTCAGCAAGCAACATTCCCCTGTGGTCTCTCATCGGCTCGTGCCTCCATGTTCCTGCCCTAACTTGCTTCAGTGATGGACTATGGTTTGGAAGCGTAAGCCAAATAGACCCTTTCCTCTCCAAGTTGCTTTTGGTCATGGTGTTTCATCACAGCAGTGTTAGCCCTCTCTAAGACAATAAGCAACTCAGGTCCCCAACGTAAATGAAAACGTCCAGGAAACCTGCTGCTCCTTGACAAAATGGAGCAGACTGCAGTAACCAGGGTCTCTCTAGGATAATGTGGGGCGAAGGGAGCACTAGCCGATAGCCATCATGAGTATGCCTACACCAGTTTCCATTACCCACTCTGCTTCAGTCCTTCCAATGGGGTGTACAGACAAATAGGGCACCGTTCTGAACCTCTCAACCAAAGCCTGGGCTTTTGTCTGGCCGCTCTTGTGTGCTGAGGTGGCATGCAGAAAACAGGAAGCAGAAAGGACAGCTCCTGAGTGGACCTAACCATTCCCAGGTGTGCGCTTTACTTTTGTTTGAGAGACTCCGGACACAGGCAAGAAAGGAGTTGCGAAGTGTCAGCAATTATCTGTAAACAGTGGGGCAACACTGTAGCAGGAATGGGCACCAACAGAGGTGTGGCCCCAGCAGCAACAGTTCATCTTTGGTAGACCTGTACAAGCAGAGTAACTTCGGTAACCAAGAGAAGTAAACTTTTCTCATGAACGAAATGCATTGCAGAGAGCTAGAGAAGAAAGCATCCAATGGACCTGAGACCATCCCTGAATATTCCAGAACTGTCAATAGAATCTGAGAAGGCAGCCAGTCTCACAGAGAGGTCAGGGTAAAGCAGAGACCCTGCTTTCTGGCCATCACTCCTGGCTTAAGTGACTCCAGTGTACCTATTTTGGAAAAATATGTGATCGATAATTTAAAGGTCAAAGTTGTGGTATCCTAAGATACATTCCTTCTAAAAGCCCATAGCTTTAAACTGGCTTCGGTAGCACAGGCCTATGATTTCAGCTACTCAAAAGACTGAAGTAGGAGAATCTCAAGTTCAAGGCCAGCTTTTGTACTTAGAACATGTCTGTCTCAAGTTCAAGGCCAGCCTTTGTACTTAGAACATGTCTGTCTCAAAATGAAAAGGATTTAAAAGTTTGGTGATATAGCTCAGTAATAGAACATTTACCTCTAAAATGCACAAGAATCTCAATTAAATCCCTAGGAACACCCAAAGGTGTACACACACACACACACACACACACACACACACACACACACACACACTAATAATTTAAATAAAACCCCATAGCTTTAAAGAAACAGAGTAAAGACAATTACTCTTAGATTCTCGTGTTTTAATTAACAAACATCTTTACATTTATTTCTGTATGTGTGTGCATATGTGTGTTTATGTGTTTTGCTAGGTCAAAGGACAACTTGAAGAAGCTGGTTCTCCCCTTCCACCACGCGGCTCCCTGGGGTTAAACTCACGTCATCAGCCTTGGCGGCAAGTGCCCTTACCAGCTGAGCTATTTCTGCAGCACCAATGCACTTTTTAAAAGCAGTATAAAATCTTGTGAAGACGTGAGCTCATAAAGGCCAAAAGTTGTGTTTGGAGCACCAAGCTCAATAGATGCAGATGCTCTGAAATGTTCACTTCAAACATCAAGCATTCGTTAAATGTACTGCCATATTGTTATACCTAGTTTCAAAAGAGAGGAGCTAACCTTATGCACCAATATGCCTGTTTTCACGGAGCCTTTGCCCACAGTCTGTAAGTTGTCCTAATACTAAGACCAAATGCCAAAAAGCAATATTTTTGCCTTTGAGAAAATCTGGAAGAGGTAATTATACTAAAACATACCACTCCAAAGGGTCTGTTGCACTGTTTGCTGTGGAAGTGGCATAATTAAGCCTCTTCAAACCAAACAGTGTCCTGGGCAAAGAGCTGAAACTGGATATCCAAACTTCTCATTCTTATAGCTCCTCCATTTTGTTGCCCTGAGTGAGATATTCCTTGTGGAAATGAAATTTAAAACTAGATCTAGGCACAGCATGAAGATTTGGGGTGTTAAGACAACTAAAAACACCCCTGACTGCCCTACACATATCCAACACACCCTCCAAATCCACAAGGGGAGAATGTACTAGTCAACACCAAAGCATCAAGTTGGTTTCTAGACTTTGTGGATTCTTACGAGGCATGTAGTATAGAATTGTGTGTGTGTGTGTGTGTGTGTGTGTGTGTGTGTGTGTGTGTGTAGGAAACATCAAAATAAGACTCTACCACCACCCAAATTTGGCTTATAAGATAAAGAGACCATTGTGAACACAGAACGATGGAAGACAATGTACATTCCTCAAGGACTTGCTGCCTACTTTGTACTAGACCCTACACTAGGCAATAGGGACACCAAGGGTAAACTAGTTCCATGTGTCAAGTCAGCACTTACTATATTTACTGAATACATCGCCATATACTTACAGAATACATTAGGTCTGGATGCTGTCTAAGGTCTTGTATTAGCAGTACTCAAGGGATAGCTTGCGATGCTGGCCCACACACCATGTGAAATAGTGAAGAATGGCATGGTATCCTACTTCTTGGATATAAGGACACACACAGAATAGCCAGAGCCCTTGCTCTCTTGGTGCTTATATTCTGAATGCGAATATACATTTTAAGGAATTACGTGAATGTACAATAATAAGGGAGGTTAAACCATTTTGAGAGCTTCGCGTCAGGAATTCTAACACTTCACCTGGGAATCAAAAACCACTTTTCTTGAAGAAGGATGTTCCTAGTGCGAGTGATTCGCAAATACCACAGGAAGGGGAAGGGAACGTCATGTTTGAAGGCTTGAGGTCAGAAAGGAAACCTAGTTAACAAGTACTTACTTAGTCTTTCCATTGCCATGCTCTGCGCTGGGCATGTGGAGGTCTGGTCCTTGCCTCTGAGGACAGTGGGGAAGTAGGCAAGTTACACCATACGATGCTGAGTGAAGTGCGGTATAATCAACACCTCACAAACAGTAGGTCCTCATCCAATTTGTGTTGAAAGGAGTATACAACTGCAATGTCAGTGGTAGGCACAATATGGCGTAGATATGTGAACACTAAACTGAATGCTGCTAAAGAGGCGTTCAGAGCACAAAAAGTTCAAACGGAATGAGAGCAGGGTGCTTGGCGGTGGTGGCGCACGCCTTTATTCCCAGCACTCGGGAGGCAGAGGCGGGAGGATCTGTGTGAGTTCGAGACCAGTCTGGTCTACAAGAGCTAGCTCCAGGATAGTTGGGGAAGCACAGAGAACCCCCCCACATGCACTCCCCCATACACACCCCACACACACTCCCCATCCCCCACAACCCACAACCCGCCCCACACATTCCATGCATAACACACACCCACCCTCCCACTCCCCACCCCCACACCCCAGCCCCCACACCGACAGACGAACCTGATTAAAAGAAAAAAGTGACTCCTTTGGAGATGCTCTACCCAGGTGAGTTGTGTGCAAACTGAAGACATGACCACCCCTCGGCGTGGTTAAGGAGAGGGTTGTGGTAGACGTGAGGGAACTAACAGCCAGAGACGTCTGGAAGGGTCCAGAGCAGAGAGAGAGAGGCCGGATGTGGTCAGCAGACTGGACCTGGCCTGGAGGGAGCTGGAGCGGAGTGGAGAGAGGTGGGGGTGGGGAGGAGTGAGGGATGAACACAGGAGGAGGGGCGGAAGAGAAGGAATCGTGGAAACAAGCAGGGTTACGAGGAGAATGAGTGGCTGGGGGTCGGGAAACCCATGAGCTAGAGAAGTTTAGGGTGGGGAAGCCGGTCAGAAGAGCTGGGGACTTCTGATACCGAGGGATCCCGGAGGCCAGCGCGTTCTTTGGCTTTGGTATGCCAACAGGCACTAGAGATGGCCATTCGTGCTTCTGTCAGTGATAAGGAATCTTTTTTTTTTTTCTTTCATTTTTTTTTTTTTTTTTGGTAGAGGGGAACCAGTTTCACAAGTCCCGAGGAATGCTGGGTCTTATCTAGCTAGCCACTAGAATTTGTGGAATTGTGCCTAGTTGACAATGAGAGCTGTTTATCACGAGTGAACAGGTGGGCCATGAGGGAGATCAGAAACATCCATGCCAAGAAGGGGGAAACAACTGGGAATATCACACAGGTTGAGGGAAACGGTACCTGACACTTCCGGGTGTCTGTGGAAGCCCAGAGACTCTATGCAAAGTGTACATGTGTTTTTGTAAGGAAGGGACCATGTTTGCAAAATAGTCAAGTGAATTCAATCACCCTAAATAGGTTAGGACTTGCTGGAGGTGGAGCAGGTAGCCTGTGACTCTCCTAGTATTGAGAGATAAGGATGCCAGTAGAATCTCAACTTAGAAAACCTTGGGTCTTCTTGAGCTGAACCGGTTTAGGCTCTGCCTCCAAATGGTATTTTAGCATTTCCTTGTTACTGCTTAGCATGTCTGTGTTGTCAGAGACCCTTAGCTGCTATGGTGAAGCCTCCTTCCAAAAACAGGTTATAGGCATGAAAGTCCTTCCTCTTAATGCATTTCCAGTTAGGCCAATGCTCTCCTGTTAGATTGTCAATTGTGTACATTGTCTGGTCTTTTCTAGGAAACTTCCCACCAATCGGCAGTTGCTGCAGTCACCTGAGTATCAAATGGCAATTATTTGGGGTAGACTTAATTAAATGAACGGTGGACGGGAGCTGGATGTTCATGACTAAGTGCCTCCACAGCCGTGCATGACAAACCAGGCACTTTTCCACCCACATGCTTGTGCTACTGCAGCAAACACAAATTTACATACCTGGAAGAAACAAGATTTTCTGAAACATTAATAATAAATGCAAGAAATTTGTCTGTCATGGCTAAAACATCTGCACTATTTCACTTTGCACCATTCTAGTTCAGATTTAAAATATCAACAGTGTTCCTCCTTACTATCTTTTTTTAAAGGATTTATTTATTTATCGCATATACAGCGTTCTGCCTACATGCTAGAAAAGGGCACCAGACTGAATTGTAGATGGTTGTGAGCCACTATGCGATTGCTGGGAATTGAACTCAGGACCCCTGGAAGAATAGTCAGTGCTCTTAACCTCTGAGCCATCTTTCCGGCCCTCTCCTTACTATCTTGCGTAATATCACACTGTTAGTAATTGAAATAGTCTTTTTCTAAATCAAGAACCTTGGCTTTGTGAAATAGCAAAGAGGAATCCTCATTTAAAGTATAGGAATGTTTAAAGTTTTAATGTCTTTAGAATAAAACAAAACAGAAACCATTGCAATCAGGTATACCCATAGAAGTGTCATGTTCAGCTGGGAGATGGTGGAGCACGCTTTTAATCCCAGCACTCAGGAGGCAGAAGCAGGCAGATCTCTGTGAGTTTGAGACCAGCCTGGTCTACAAGAGCTAGTTCCAGGACAGCCTCCAAAACCCACAAAGAAACCCTGTCTCAAAAAACGAAAAGGAAGTGTCATGTTCAGATCGAGGGGACAACAAATCTTCAAAAACGTTTTGTTTTGTTTTTTAAGTTATTTTATTGGTATGGGTCTTTTGCCAGCATGGGTGTCTGTATATCACTTGCAAGCAGCCCCCTCAGAGTCCAGAAGAGGGCATCAGATCCCCTGTAACTGGAGTTACAAACGGTAGTAAGCTGCTGTGTGAGTGCTGGGAACTGAATCCAGGTGCTCTTAACTGCTGACACATCTCTCCAGGGCTGAGCATACCACATAAGAAATACATTGTATCCAGTGTTTGATGCCTTATGGTAAGAGGGACAGAGACAGGCATTGGAAGATGGTGAGTGACCAAGAAATGAAGGCAATGGCAACAGCTATCTTCCTTACCAAGCGCAGTATCTGAACATTTTGTCTTTCCAAGTACCCTGTTGGGGAACTACTGTTATTATGCACATTTTACAATTAAGGGCACTTGGGGACCTGCCTCTAATTTATGGAGGAACTGGGGTGCCATTCACTTTTACATAACTCCAGTGGTCCTTCAGCTTAGGCTGTTTGGTATATTTTCAGTTAATCATACTAAAGATGATGAATGGTGAGGAAAATGAAATCATTGCTGTGTGTGTGTGTGTGTGTGTGTGTGTGTGTGTGTGTGTGTTGATCTCACCGCTCAGAATATATACTCTTACTGCAGTGATGCTAATTATGCCCTTCCTTACATTCCAGGCTGAGAACAGAGCTGGTATTCCAAATGTCTTTTGCTAAACAAAATAATTTCAAAGTGCCTCAAAAAAATTTTACCCATCAGATAACTGAAAGGAAGGGACACTTTGGAGAACGAATTATTGGGATCCTTTTAGAGGATCCTAATTGTCAAAATGTGAAATGTGTGAACCATTGACCCACAGTCATACATGTGGAAGTCTATTTAATCTATTCCACAGAAACACTGATGCATATATATAGATACATGGAGATAATATAGGTATACAAGCACAAAGACATAGTACACATATGTGTGTGGGTAAAAATACATGCATAGGGCTGGAGCAACAGCTCTATCGGCAAAGCACTTGCCAGGCAAGCACAAGGATCTGATTTTGACCCCCAACAACCATACTAAAAGCCCAGTGCTGTGTAATAGTCCCTCTGTGCACTCTGAAAATTGTTGCTCTCATTGTTAATAAAAAGCTGATTGGCCAATAGTTAGACAGGATTTGGGGGGGAGCAGAGAGAATGCTGGGAAGAAGATGGATGGAGTCTGAGGAGTCTCAAGCCAGATGCAGAGGAAGCAGAATGTGTAGAAAAGGAGGTAACAAGCCATGAGTCACGTGGTAGAACTTGGATAAGAAAATATGGGTTACCTTAAGTTGTAAGAGCTAGTTAGTAACAAGCCTAAGCTATCAGCCAAGCATTTGTAATTAAAGCCTCTGTGTGGTTATTTCAGAGCTGAAACACAGAGAAATTCTACCTACAGCCAGGTGTGGTGGCACAAGCTTGTAATCCCAGTGCTGGGGGACAGAGATGGGTAGATTTCTGGGACTTTTGCTGGTCAGCCAGCCTCACCCAATAGGTGAGCCATAGGTCTTCTTCTAAGACTTCTGTAAAACAAGATGGACAGCTGCTGAGCAGTACCTGAGGTTGCCCCTTGGCTGACATACATGCATACCCACATGTGTACACAACCTCCATCCACACACAAAAAGATATATGCACACACATCTAAATAAGTTCTTTGCAGCTCCTTTTATGTTCACAGATAAAATGCAAGCAACCTAAGTATCCATTAGTAAGCAATGATTAGAAAAACAATTGCCAGGCCGAAGCAGGACAATTGCTTAAACAAAGCTGGCACATGGCCAGCTTAAAAAAAATTCACTGTACAACCATGCAGTGCAATGGTATGTGAATTAGTATGTACATATTAAAAGGTTACAATAGATACATGTGTTATGTTAAGTATACAAGAAACTGCCAGTTCTGCATTACTGTTGGCATGAAGGAATAGCAATTTCATGATTCAGCTTAGTAGATGAACAGACATGAAGTGATTTTTAAATACTATTTATTTACTTTATATCCATGTGTCAAAGTGTATTATGTGTACCACATGTGTGTCTGGTGCCTGCAGAAACCAGAAGAGATCATCAGTTCCCCTGGAACTGGAATTACAGTTGGTTTTGAGTTACCATGTAGATGCAGGAACCAAACTTGGGTCCTCTGCAAGAGCATCAAGAAGCCATCTCTCCAGTTCCATAAAGTGGTAAGGTTTATTTGTTTGTTTTGTTGTTTTTGTTTTGGGGAGGCTGTTTTATTTTTGTTTTTGAGGCAGGATTTCTCTGTGCAGCCCTGGCTGTCCTGGAACTCAACCTGTAGATCACACTAGCTTCAAACTCAGAAATCCACCTGCCTCTGCCCCCTGAGTGCTGGAACTAAAGGCGTGGATCACCACACTTGGCTCCATGCAGTGATTTTTAAACTGAGTACTAATTGAAAAAGAAAACAAGTTGCAGATTAACATATAAACAATATTTTTTTAAAAAGCTATGCAACTGCAGCCCAGATGTACCTCATCTGGGCAGTACAATGAAGCTGACCCTGTTGACTGGGGTAGGGATGAGCTGGCCCCAAGAATGTGAGGCGGAGAGCTGTCCCTGCCCCTCAGCAGCTGAAGCATGTGGGAGAATGGCCTCTACACCTCACCTGGGCGTGAGAGCCTACCCTGAAGGCAGGAAAGCAGGAGAACCTGTCCTGCCCCTTGCTCTGGTCCTAAGAACTGGAGAGAGCTAGCAGGCTGACCAACCCTGCAACTACCCAGGCCTAGTAACAGGGTTATAAGTTGGCCCACCCCATTTATGATGTGCTGGAGCACATGAAGGAGCTGGTCCTGCAGACCCAACGCTATAGGTTCTCCATGACACAGAGAACAAGAAGATATCCAACAGGAGTCCCAGTGAGGGTCCTGCATTGGTAGTGTTAGCTGAATCAGAGGCCTCAAACCAGATCAATGACTCTTTGCAATGAACACTTGCAAGTAAAGATGTATGGACAAAGGTGTTCACAGCGTGAACGGTGGGGTTATTTCTGGGCACAAGTTTTATATTTAAGCCAATAAAATTCCACGTAGCTTTAATTTTTTTCTACATTAAGATTTATAATTTATTCTAATGCTTACTAAACTCAATCCCAAACTACTTACACATTTGCTGAACAAAAGGAGATGTTTCTTAGGAAAATGAAATGGAGTGATGGGGTGAGGGTGCCCGCAGGTGGCGAGCAGGTTTCTAACTCTGAGGAAGTCAAACAGGAAGGTGATGACACAGGACCTAGACTTGACTGAAAGTTCCCAGCCACATGCAAATCTAAAGACAGTGTCCTGGCAGGCGCGAGGGTGGGTGGGTGGGTAGGGTAATCAAAGACTGAGGAGAAGCATGTTACATTTGAGGGACAGAAGAAAAGCAGCGTGGCTGAGCATGAGGAGGGAGTGGGAGAGCGCCAGGACGCAGAATCAGAAAGCTAAGTAGGGACCAGTGGGGGGGGGGGGACACGGAGTGGGGGGCCATGCCTGGGATTCTTCTATAGTTGCAGGCGCCACAGGAAGGTTTTGAATAAAGAGGTAATCTTTTCTTTTCTTTCTTTCTTTCTTTCTTTCTTTTTTTTTTTTTTTTTTTGGTTTTTGGAGACAGGGTTTCTCTGTGTAGCTTTGAAGCCTGTCCTGGAACTCACTCTGTAGACCAGGCTGGCCTCAAACTCACAGAGATCCGCCTGCCTCTGCCTCCCGAGTGCTGGGATTAAAGTCGTGTGCCACCACTGCCTGGCTTCTTCTACTGGGCATTTTTACCTGTGGATTATTATAAAGAGGAATTCTTCCTAAGCTGTGCTGTCTAATTAGTAATAATAATGTTAGTTTAAATAGAGTTTTGGTGACTGAAAATAAATACAAGGAAGTGTCATATAGCCAGGGCCAAGGAGTGTAACTTAAGGAGACACAGGGATCCCAGTTCAGGTTAACGATTAGGAGAACGGCTGAGTCCCAGGAGTCAGGCTGGCTTGAATTCTTTTCATCTTGATGCTGAAACATGTATTCACAAGTTTCAGTGTGCATTGGAGCTGAAATAAAGTCTTAGAATGACTTCAGGTTAAACTAAGATGTTTTGATAATGGTTTTAAGATGAAAAACCCTGGAAAACAATCTAAAGTTCACAAGGACTCATAGGTGAGGGACTCATTAAGGTCTGGGATCAAGCACAAAGCAGTTCAGTTATTGCTAGCTGACATACTTTCCTTGTCAGGATTGGTTAGTGGTCAAAGGTGATGACAAACTCCTTGTACCCATTTCTGCCAGCAACCTGCTGATATAAAAAACTGTTGCTGAGTGGGTGGGTATACACCCGGCAGATTGAAAGAAGAGCTGATTGGTTATTTTTCGCATGTAAAGTTTAGGTTTGTGATTCCTTATAAGATTACCTTTCAAGATAAGTAATAAAGTGATTCGATCCTTTCTCTGTAACCACAAAATGCAGCCTGCTAGCAAAAGAAAGAACTGCTGAGGAAAACATCCTGCTAGCTCACACCCTGTTCGGCTATGACAAGTAAATGCATGTGGGTTCTTGGGATGACTTTGTTTTAATCGTGTAAAGGAGATGAAAAGATTGTTTGTACCTATATTCATTATAATCATTCACTTGAAAAAATAGAATGTAGCCACATTGCAATTTCTATGTTGCCTGAAAGGCTTTGTTTTGGGGTTTATAAACTGTAGAGGAAAAATGAAGTTAGAAGAAGAATAAAGAAAAAGTCCGAAGGAAACCCCTTAGGCAAAAATATCTTAGTATGCCAACTCCCTGGATTCCTATTGAGCCCTGCACTGCTTGAGGCTGGTCCTCACAGCAGAGGTAGGATGTGACCCCTTTAATCTTTGCTCATCTTTTCTTCCTCACCCATCACAAAAGTTCCAAACACTGAGTTAATCTCTTCCTTAATTACATTTGGTTTTGCTGAACTTATTTACAGAACTTATTCAAATCAGGAAAGGCTGCATCTGTAAGGCCAGAATCCCTTCTGCTAGCGTCATGAAAGGGTGCTGTCCTCAGGCCCTGCACTTCCCCAGGGCAGCACAATAGAGCCCGCCCTGTTATTTGAAGAGAAATGAATGGGATCAAGATACATGGTGTAAAAGACACATAGAATACTTACATATATACAGACAGACAGACTGACAGACAGACAGGTGCTGTCCTCAGTCCTAGCTGAGAACAAAACCCCCACCTCTTGCTTGAGATGTTTCCAGATCACAGGACCACAGGGTTGGGAAAGACCATGATGAGCGTGTAGTTTAACTCTCCTAACCAGTGTCTAGCCATCCACAGCCTGTCTGCCATGGCCTCTTGCATGTATGCACCCCCCAGGAAGAAGTTTGGAGATGGGCAACCTAATTCAGAATCAAAATTGTCTGTGGGTCGTGGGCACACTTCTTAACATCATGGAACCCAAGTTTCCTCGTTCGCAAACGCAGTGGAAACCAACACTTTGCAGAGTTGTTTTGACTGCTCTAACAACTTGAAGCAGTGGGCATGCTGCTCCCTGCCCCTAGTGATGAAAAGCTGGTCCAGCTCATTATCTCTGATTTCTGTCATCTCTTACTCCTTTTAGCAACCATTTTTGACACCTAAGCTTGATGCTGTGCCATTGTTTCTCAATTACTTTGTATCCATGGGTCATGACCTCCCAATGAAACTGAGGATAACCACCATATTTTATATTTCTTGGGGTCCCCCCAAAGGATGTAGGTCAATCCAGGGCATGCAGCAATATACAGAGAAACAGTAAAACATGCCAAATGAAATGAGCAATCCATCATCGCCAGGGTAACTTAAAACCAGCCACACTCACTGACCTGCCATTTAATTGGAGTTTCCCGTAAAAGGGCCCCCTTTCTATGGTATCCATTTTCAAGTTTATAAAAAAAAAAAAAGAAGAAGACGAACAGAGTGCAACCCTTTGCTTTTAAAAAGAAATCTCTTCATGCACTGCACGTTTACATTTGACCCATGACTTCATAACCAGAAGAAAAAAAAAAGAAATATCCCACAGAGCACCCTGAATTGTCCACCTCAAACATTGTTTTCTAACTCTCAGACAGGAGCGCTGATCCTTAGAGCTCCCCTTCTCCTTCTCGTTCGCTTACCCATCTGTGAATTAATGACTGGGTATTTTAGGAGGTTGATTTAAAAAGAAACAAAGTCTATGTAGGAACTGTACGGTTCTCATGTATCTCAAGGGAATACAGGTTAGATCCATTTGACCACAGCAGCTGAAAGGCAAAGGAGTGCCATAAAGAATCTACTGGGAGAAGCAGGATCAGAGAGATGTGGTGCACTTCTCTTAAGTGCATATCACTTAACTGCATAATCAGCTCGCGTTCCTAAGAATTATGCAGTCTCTGTCTGGCCCCCATTAGATTGAATGTGTTGCTACTCCAGTTAATTGCATATCAGCAAATTGCATAATTCAGCTATATGCACCCTGAACTGAGTTCCAAATGCCATCCGGTACAATGTAATCAAACTAGGGAAGTGAAGAGCTGGAATACTTATGAGATTCTGCCCATTTGTCACATTTGGTTTGGATAGTCTGTGCCACGCAGCAGGCAGCCCATTGCTCATGGACCTGGATGCTTTGGATTCCTGTATGCCCCTCTGCAACATCAGCACCATCTCCTGTAGTCCCCACACCAAAATTAATTAAAATGTGCCCAAGGAAAAAGCAAGACGTCAGCATGTGAAAATCTGATTTAAAAGTAAAAACTCTGACTCATAGCTAACGGTGCTATGCTTCCCAAGACCAGCATTAGTGACAAGGTAGGTGCAGAAAAAGTACAGGTTACTCTGGGTTCCGCCATCAACTTGCTTAGCAGGGATCCCCGCCCCCATCTCCCACCCCAGTTTTACCTGCCTTACAGAGCTGTTATGAGGGCCCCAGGCTAACCTGCACACTGACACCGATGTTAAGAACTGTCTGCAGTGCGGTAAGGATCGTGTGCTGCACACCAAGGGATAGAGTCCAAAGAGGGGGGTTCGTGCTGTGGCTCAGAAGGTGAAGCAAGGCACGTACTCTGCAAGTCTAACTAACGACCTACGACCGACATGGCGGAAGGCGAGAGCCTACTCCCACAAGGTTTGCCCTGACCTCCACATACACTCCGTAGAAGGCACCTACTCACTCACACACTTTAGTCATCAAGGGTCAACAGGCGGTTCGTGGGTAAAGGTGCTTGCTGCCAAACCTAATTATCTGAGTCTAACCCCTAGAAGTCACACAGTAGAAGAAGAGAACTGACTGCCAAAATTCTCTGGTTTCCACGTATACTCCATGGCATGTGTGCCCTGTCACATAAACACACAAATAAATAAATAAATAATAAAAACAAAGAGTCCATCAAGCTAAAATACTTGGTAAGACAGATAAAAAAGAAGCAAATGCCACTTGGTCTCTGGGGAGCACTTGAAAGGATGTGTCTTGGTTTGGGTTCTAATGCTGTATTTCATTTTTATTCATTTGTGTGTGTGTGTGTGTGTGTGTGTGTGTGTGTGTGTGCGCGCGCGCGCGCGCGCACGCGCGCGCTCGCATGTGTTCTCACTCATGCATGTAGTTGCTTGAGGAGGCCAGAGGAGGGCACCAGATCCCTCGGAGCAAGAGGCAGTTGTGTGCTGAGAGTCCAGTGGGGGTCCTCTGCAAGAGCAACAAGTTTTCCTAATCACTGAGCCATCTCCCCAGCCCTTTGGTTCCTCTTGCTAAAATATTTTATCACATTTATGCAGTTTAAGGGTTAAATGAGCATGTGGAAGTCAGAGGACAACTTGCAGGAGTTGGTTCTCTCATTCACAATGTGGGTCACAGGGCTCAAACTCGGGTCATTAGGTTTGTACCTAATTGCTAAGTACCTTAACCTGCTAAGCCACCTTGCCAACCCTTGGTTCAGTTTTCACTTTGTAAAAAGTGTGCACCTTCTTGAGTCCACATGCACAAGTACATACAAGGAGGTCCTTATTAGGTTGCTTCTTGGGCAGAAATAACAGGACATCCACAGCAATCAGCAACAAGTTTGGCAGTTGATTTTGGAAAAAAAAAATACCTGCTACGCAATCTTCAATATCCCACAAGGGGTTTCCTTACAGGTGCTGCATTGCGGAATCCAGAGGAAATGCCCATATGCCAGCTGGCCCCCTTGGACTGCAGCTCAAAGATCCCAGAGTCTCCCTTTGCTCTCTGCAGATTTCTTTGCACAGATAACTTCTGCCAGTGTATCTAGTAATACTCAGTGCTATCTTCCTGACACCTTCCCTACCTATCACATATTCTTCTGAAACATCTGTAGGAGTCTCTAAGTCATCTCTTACTTTAGAATAGACCCATCATTTGGTTTCTTACTAGTTTTATTATCCTGGGAAAAGCGTTTAGTCTCATGAAGCCTTGCTTTCCTTTACCCAAACAATGAAGCCAACCCTAGTAGCTACCTTCTGAGGCTTTGCAAGGGTTAAATGAGAGTGTTTATGCAATGCATTAGACACAGTGCTAAGCAGTGTGACCATTTACTAGCACGGGGCTCATGTATTACCCAAGATAAACAACGATGAATTATGCATCAATATTTTTTACCGAATACTGAAGTCAGATCTGTTTCTGCAAGCATTTGGGCTTTAGACAATTAAATCTACACTTCTTTGGCTCACTTAAGTGACTAATAGAGGACTTTGAGTTTGGAATGAGGATTCCATGATACATAGTAAAGTGTGAGCATAAGTGGTTCTAGAAAACTGGCAGGAGAAGGAGTGGCTTGGTGTTTCCACTCCCACCAACTGCATGGGATGCAGCCATGTTCAGTGGTCTGAGAAGACCATGTCGGATACCTGGAGAAGCTCGCCCAGAGAGGGAGCTTAAATGTCAGTGGAATTGATGCACAAGCAGCTGTTCCAAATGTGAACGTCAACTACTTCCCATCAGATGAATCAAAACTCTGCAAAAATATTTAGTGTAACATTTGAAGCCTCTCAAAATGTGATTCGTTCATCAACAGCCCCAGCACCAAGTACAGAGCCTGGTAGAATTATGCATTCAAGAAACGATGGTTGAATAAGTTAATGAAATAATGACTCCAACCTTTGTTTCCAACCTCATCTTCCACTGTCTCCCAGCAGGAACCCTTCACTGCACCGAGGCTAATCTACTTTTCATAAACACTGACTCACCAGTTCCTACCTCCAAGCCTTTGCTCACAAACCTTGTTAAACAGTCTGCATTCACTCATTCTTCCCCATGAAGGTTTTCTGTGATTTTGAAGACAATGGTTTTGAACTGTTAACCTAGCTAAGCTGGAACTACATTTCCCAGGATCTTCCCTGCATTCATACTGACCCAAACAAAAACTCCTAAGAGCTCTGGAGAACCAAAGTCTGGATCCACGTGGTGGCTGGTAGGAGCACAGCTGCTCACAGGTTCCTACAGACCCTTGCTCTCCTCTGTTCCCACGTCGGCTTGTCTCAATAGCTGGCCCCACTGGCCAGGTGCAGACAAGATTCCGTGCCTTTCTCCACCAGTTTTGTTCAGTGATTCCATTTCAGCAGCTGGCTACTGTGGCCTCCCAGAATCCCCTTGCAAGTCCCTGCTCATAACCAGGACAGCTAGCATTTCAGGGCAGAGGCTAGATACTGTTGAGTTTTACAGTGTTGGTGCATCAGGCAGAATAAATGGATTAAATGATCCCAAACCATATTCACATGAAGAGTCTCAGAAACTTAGATTATATTGTTTTATACAGCAAGAGTGACCTTGTAGATGTAAGCATCATGATATGTGTGTGTGTACCTAACTAGAGCCTTTACCCCTACTGTGGTGGTTCCAATAAGAATGGCCCCCATAGGCCATTTTGAATGCTTAGTCACCAGAGAGTAGCACTATTTGAAACGATTCGAGGGATTAGGAAGTGTGGCTGAGTTGTGTCACTCAGGGTAGGCTTTGAGGTTGTTTTACAAACCCACACCCCAGCCCAGTGTTTCTCTTTTTCTCTCTCTTAGCCCGTGGATCAGGATGTAGCTCTCAGTTACTGTTCCAGCAGTGTGCAAGCTGCTGTGCTTCCTGCTGTGATAACTGACTAAACCTGTGACACAGTAAGCAAGCTCCAGTTAAATGCTTTCTTTTTAAGAGGTGCCTTGGTTATGGTATCTCTTGGCAGCAATGGGACAGTGACTAAGACACCTACTGATTAGTGTTCATCGTACAAGAAGGTACTCTACATGCTGCTAAAGGAAAAAGGTGAACACCAACCCAGCTACTAACCCCTCAGTCTACAGTGGTGACCTGGCTACATGATGTGCTGGTGTAATAGTGGCACAAATGGCATGGGAATAACCAACCACTGTCTGATTGGATTCAAAGCTCACTCCATGAGAGGAAACCCATGCCCAACACTGCTTGGATGGCCAAGGACCAAATACATTGTGAACATAGCAATACAACGACTCCTAATGACAGTCTTCTATATTGATAGGTGAGTATTTGCTCAGCCATCACCAGAGAAGCTTTCTCCTATAGGAGATGGGAAGTAATACTGCGACCCACAACTGGGCAATGTGCAGAGAGTGAGAGACTTTGTAATACTCAATCCGAAACAGGATGTGTTCATCAAAACCTCCCCTCAGAGTCAGGGAGCTATATGGAAGAGGGGGTGGAAAGATTGTAAGAGCCAGTGGGGATGGAGGACACTAAGGAGTTTCTTCCAGATGCTACAGAGTGATGCATGTATGAAGTCACAGAGACTGCACAGGCCTGAGAAGAGAAGTCCCAGCACTGAGAAGAGAAATGGACATGAGTCCCTATGCCTAACTCAGAAGCTATCTCTGATTGCTCACAAAGGAAAAATTAGTTTTCTCCAGTGGAGTTGCACTGGGTGTACAAACCACACCACCAGCAAATGGCCAAAACAAAAGGGACTCAGTGGTATTTTTGAAGATTTCTTTCTTGTCTCATAATGCTTTGTCTGAGTATGTTTGTTGTTGTTTTACTTGTCTTTTGCTTTTTATAGGGTGTGTGTGTGCATTTGTTTCCCATGCTTTTTTTCCCTGTTTATTTTATTCTGGATTGCTTATTTTCCAAAAAAGAAGGAAAGCGTCAAGTTGGGTGGATACGAAGGCGGAGAGGATCTGGGAGGAGATGAGGGAGGGGAAACCATGATCACAATAAATTGCATGAAGAAAATTCTGGAATGGGGATTATTTAGGGAGTCCCAGGGTATGAAGGGTCCTTGTAAGTGAAAGAAGGGGGTGAAGGGGGCCAGTGTGGGAGAAGGAGAAGGGAGAACAGATGGAGTTGCAGTGATGCAGAGCTACAAGCGAGCCATGCAGGCAGCCTCTAGAAATGTCATGGAAACTGCATCTGCCTAGAACCACTCCCCCAAAGGGCACAGCTCTGAAGGCAACTCACTTTACATGAGTGAAATTCACCTACATGTTTGACCTGTATAACTGTGAATGGTGTTGCATTAGCCCAAGGACATTTATGGTAGTGTATTACAACAGCATTTGGAAATGAATACAATTACCTACAGTAGGCCATATAGCAACTCATTGCCAATAAGTAATAATCAGACTAGAGAGTAATACTCATTGAGAACTTAGGGCAATGGTTCTCAACCTTCCTAACGCTGTGACCCTTTAACACAGTTCCTCATGTTGTAGTTACCCCATCCATAAAATTATTCTCATTGCTACTTCATAACTATAATTTCGCTACTGTTATGAATTACAGCATAAATATCTGCTATGCAGGATATCTGATATGCAACCCTTGTGAAAGGGTCATTTGACCACCAAGGAGGTCATGACCCACAAGTTGAGATCCACTGACTTAGGGGAACGTACCGTACAAGGTGCTTTACAGGCACATCATATGTATTTTCATTCTCAAAACCAAATAGTTCTTACTATGTACAGTTATAGCCAAGGAAACCCAAATTTAGAAGAGTTGAAGTAGCTTGATTAAAATCATAGAGTTAACAACTGGCAGTGGAAGGATTTGAATTCAGGCAACCTACTTCGTACCATCACCCACACTGGTGCTGAGAAACATAGAAAACTGTATACATTTCTAAGA